TTTTTTGCCTTTTGGGTCACACCCAGCAATGCTCAGGGGTCACTCCTGGCTCTTCACTCAGGAATTACTCCTGGCGGTGCTTGGGGGACCATATGGGATGCCGGGGATTGAACCTGGGTTGGCCACATGCAAGGTAAATGCCCTACCGGTTGTGCTATCGCTCTGGCCCCCTCAATTTCTAATTTTTTGAGAATCGTCCATACTGTTTTCCTAAAGGGCTGAACCAGTTGACATTCCCACCAGCAGCGAAGGAGGGTCCCTTTCTCACCACATCCGTGCCAGCACCAGTTGCTTTTGTTCTTTTGGATGTGGGCCAGTCTCTGTGGTGTGAGATGATATCTCATTTTTGTTTTGATCTGCATCTCCCTGATGATTAGTGATGAAGAGCATTTTCTCATGTGCCTTTTGGCCACTCAGGCTTCCTCTTTGAGAAACTTTCTGTTCATTTCATCATCCCATTTTCTTATGGGGTTGGGTTTTTTCTTCTTGTAGAGTTCAACCAGTGCCTTGTATATCCTTGATATCAATCCCTTATCAGATGGGTATTGGGCGAATATCCTTTCCCATTCTGTAGATGTCTTTGTATTCTAGTTATTGTATCTTTTGAGGTGCAGAAGCTTCTTAGTTTGAGATAGTCTTTGGGTCTATTATTTCTTTGGCTTCTGGGTCATACCTGGTGGTGCTCAGGGATCAACCCTGGTAGTGGGGAAGGAGGGGCATGCGGGGTGCTGGGGACTGAACCCGGGTTGGCCTTGTACAAGTGCCCTCCCTGCTGCATGTAACCAGCACTCCTGACCTCTTGTTTCAGTACTGGAGGATCAAACCCACATCCTCACAATTGCAAGGGAAACACTCTATTGCTGAGGGTATACCCGTGTGCTCTCTGAGGACTGCTCTATCTCTAGCGTGCGTAAACACACACACACACACACACACACACACACACACACACACTCCAGACTCCCAATGTAATGTACAATACCCGCAACAGATGTAGCATATGAGATGTCCAGCATGAGGCTGCCGGTTGGACACACAGCAGGTAGGGTGCTGGCCTTGCACGCGGCCAACCCAGGTGTGACCCCTGATTGATATCCAATATAGTATCATGAGCATCACCAGGAATAATTCCTACTCCTGAATGCAGAGCTAGGAGTAAGCCCTGAGTATCACCAGGTGTGTCAACTCCCCACCTCCTGGACCAAAAAAACATTAAAAAACAAATTATGTCAAGCCAAAAAGCCAGACACAAATATGTACTTTATCTTCCCACTTAAATGAAAACTTAAGAAAAGAAAAACTCCTGGGGCAGAAGGAGAGACAACAGGAGCTACGGCATCTGCCTTGCCCACAGCTGCTCTGGCCGCTCCAGTCTCTGGCACCGCGTGTGGTCTCCGTAGCACCCCAGGAGTGATCCCTGGACACAAAAACTGGAATATACCCCCCCCCCTTTTTTTTGTTCCTGTGCCACACCCAGCAGTGCTTAACACTTACTCCTGGGTCTGTGCTCAGGGACCATATGGGGTGTTGGGGATCAAACCACGACCAAGGTTCACGGTATGCAAGGCACTTATTTCATCCTGGCCCAGGAATAGCCCCTGAGCACTGCTGGCTGTGGATCAATTTCTTCCCCTGTAATGCCCTCACCCCCCGCTCCCACCCCCCAAAGAGGAGACCAGACAAAACCTATCTGTGATGAAGACCAGGGCAGGAGAATGGGAATATCCCGAGCACAAGGTATTTGATCTGAGGAAATGCTGAATTAGGCTTTGAGTGCTTACTGAGAATAGGCCACAATAGGATGATCATTCCTTGCACGCAGAGCACCTCCGGTTTGATCCCTGGCACCACATATGGTCCCCTGCACCCCCGCCAGGAGGAACCAAGTAGAGTCAGTGGCCCTGAGCATTGCCAAGTGTGGCCGGGCCAAAACAAACCAAAAAAGCTCCTCTGTGGCCAGGTAGAGAGCGTGGTTTGGTAATTGAGTGGCTTCTGAACATTCTCCACCTTCTCTTTGATGGTCACTTCAGTTGTTTCACCTTAAGAATGTCTGAGGGGGCTGTGAGCTCACCCTCTGTGTGCAGGACGCCTGCTGAACTGACTCCAGCCCTGCGTTGTCTTTTTTTTTTTTTTTTTTTTGGCTTTTTGGGTCACATCCAGCGATGCTCCTGGGTTAGTCCTGGCTTTGCGCTCAGGAATTACTCCTGGTGGTGCTTGGGAGGCGGGACTATATGGGATGCTGGGAATCAAACTTGGGTCAGCCATGTGCGAGGCAAAGGCCCTCCCTGCTGTGCCATCGCTCCAGTCCCCCGCATGGTCTCTTGAGCACTGCCAGGAGCAAGCTCCAGGCACAGAGCTGGGAGCAACCCTTGAGCACTGCCAGATGTGCTCCCACACCAAAACATACTTACTTCTTACAAAGTAGAGCTAAGAGATGGGTTGATCTTTTTGGGGGCTACACCCAGTGGTGCTGGGGGCAAACGCAGGGGTGCGCAGTGGGTAGCGCCTCAACTTGATTGTAAATCTCTGGCCCCTTGTTTTAGACTAAACTGTTTGGGCCACATCGGGGAGTGCGTGGGGACATGCACTGCTGAGGGTCAGACCTGTGCTCCTGCCCTGTGAGCATCTCCTGGCCGAGCGTGTCTTCAAAGAATGCTGCGAAGAATCCAGACAGACACCCACCTGGCTTCATATGCACTTACACAACTTGTAGTAAAACAACTTCCAGTCAGAGGATGGGGGAGGACGGGAAGAGGAGAGTGTGAGAGGGAGAGAGAGGGTGAGAGAGGAGAGAGAGGGAGGCGGAGAGACAGAGACAGAGGCAGAGGGCGAGCACTTAGGTTTCTTCGAGCATACATCTTAAGCAAAGACAAGATGTGGTGTAACTCCAGTGCAGAAAATGCAGTTCTTTTCAGTACCTAATTTTCCGAATTAAGATTTACTTCTTTGAACTTGTTTTCGGGCACATATTGGGGTGCTCAGGGCTTGCTCCTGGCTGTGCGCTCAAAGACCACTCCTGGTGGGCTGGGGGACCATTATAGGGAGTCAGAAAGGGCAGACGTCCTACCTGCTGTGCTTCCACTATGGGTCTCCCTTTCTTTATTCAAAGCTCTAGAATTCTCAAGACTCTTTCTTGTTCACAAATCCCTAACAGAACTAACATAAAAAATATATGCACAAGCGTATGTCCATACAAAAACAGAAATGTGCAAAACTGGTCTATCTGTAATTGCCCAAGCCTGTGAATGACCAAATGTCTTTTGAGGTAAATGGATAATTTGTAGAATATACTCATATTGGAATACTTGCTATAGCCACAGAATATTTGCTACTTGGCAATAAAAAGCAATAAATGATTGAAATAAGGCACATGAATAATCTTGGTTATGCATCATGCTTGGTAAATATTCAGCATAAAAGATTTTCTCCCGTTTAAAACTTCAGAAAATTGGGTTGGAGTGATAGTAACCAGGTAGGGCGTTTGCCTTGTGTGATGGGGCTGACCAGGGTCTGATCCCCACATCCCATTTGACCCCCTGAGATCTCCCAAGAGTGATCTGAGTGCAGAGCCAGGAGCAAACCCTGAGCACTGCCGAGTGTGGCCCCAAACAAACAAACAAAAATCCAAAAAAATTGCAAAATAATCAAGTGACTAAAGGTAGATTAATAATAGCTTGGAGATGGGTGGGTAGAAACACTAAATAAGAATTCACAGCACAGGAACACTTTCAGGCTCTGATGAGGTTAGCATTTTTTGGTTTCACTCCTGCCTCCCCTTTATCCCCCCCCCCACTTTTCCCCTCCCCCCTTGTGTCCCCACATTCTCTGACTGGAATCACTCCTGGTGGTGCTTGGGGGACCAGAGGAGGTGGTGGGTATCGAACCAAGCTTGGCTCAAGGAAAGTGCTCTATGCTGTGCACTATCATTCTGGTCCAAGTCGACTCTTGGCTGTGACTTCTTCAGGGAGTCCAGATCTGCTGCTGCTGCCTGGCTGGTGGCGCTTGGGGGTGGAGCCCAGCAGTGCTCCGGGACTCAGTGGTAGAGACTGCACCTGGGCTTTCTCTGTGCAAACAACAGGCTCTGTTCAGTGACCTCTCTCCGTTCTGAAATGCGACTCCCCCAAAGAGGCTCTTTCTCACGATGCGGTGAATGAGTCCTTTCCCCTGCCCATCCTGACTGCCGAGTCTGCTGGGCCAGCAGAAGACTTGCTTCCAGGGCAGTCCAAGGCCGGCCAGGGTGAGACGCAGGCCCCTAACACCTGAACCCTGTGTTCTAGAAAGCATTTCTTAACAGAAACGGGGCACTATCTGCACAAATGAGAAGCTGAAATGAAGCCACTCCTTCTGGCGCAGTTTCCCCCTGCTTCACTGTCTCAAGCCAGCTCCACACACTGAACCCCTGATGGGAGGTCCTCGCAAGCAACTAAGTCTCCACTGTGGTCTCACGGGCGCCTGCAGGGGAAGGATACATGTTGGCTCTCGCGTCTTTCTCCTCCTATTCCTGAGCAGGAGTGCTGACCATGGCTACAGGAGAGAAGCGGCAAGTCAGGGTGAGGACAGCACAACTGTCATTCAGCGCCAGCCAGGCCTGGCAGACTCCGCCTCTCAGCCGGTTAGGAGCAAAGCTGCCTCCCAAGAGCAGCATGTAGACAGGACGGAGGGGACCTGGCTGCACTCACATAGAGCAAACGGCACCCCGAGGACAGCCACCCACAGGCACCCAGTGCCCCCAGGCTCCCCGACTGCGGCCTCTGCTACCCTCAGTGACGACTTTCCACCCGCAGCGCAGAGCAATGCAGGAGCCAACACGCTCCACCTCTGAGACGGGCTTCAAAGCACCAGCACGAGCGGGACTTTCCCTGCAGTGAAAGACTCAGATGGGTTATAGACAATGAAGGGATGCCTGGCACCAGGGGACTCAATAAAGAGAGAAACTGTCATGTACAAAAACCTCTTGAGTCCTTTATTACATTTGGAGATGTGGAGTACAGACAGTTAACAGCATCGCACCAGGCACGGAGTACTGAGAACCCAGAGTGGACTCGGAACGAGCGTCCGGAGGCGCCCATGTGTCTGCCTGCTCGGCACCGCTCCACAAACCCATCTCCCGACACACACAGGACACACAAAAGAACGATTTCACTCTGAAATGGTTCTTCCAAGAAAAGGAGAAGGCAAGGAAAGGAAAAAGAAACAAAAGATGAGACTCGGTAGGTGAGCCGGCTGGAGCGGGCCGGCGGGCAGCTGGGGTCCACCGGGAGAGCCGGCCTTGGTGCCCGGGAGAGGCTGGACTTCAGTGTCGAGGGAACAGACGGTCCGAGGGGGACTTTCAGTCTGGGCCCAGGCCGGGTCCTGCAGGGATCCACCAGATAAATAGAGTCTGTGAAGTGGGAGGCTGGGGAACGGCCATCTACCCCGGCACTGATTCTGAACGGCCGACACTGGTGAGCGGGAGCCGCTGATGGCACGGCAGGGAGGAAGGTGGGAGGGGGCGCCTGGGAGGAAGGACGCAGTCCAGTCACCGTGTCACGCCAGGCCTGATCCGCGTGTGCCACTGGACGCCAAGGGTCCCTCTGCTTTCACACCGGGAGGAAAGCTTCCCTTATCTCAATGTTCCACGTGAAAATTGCCGAAAACCCTCCCCCCGCCCCCATCATCATTCTTCATCAATTCTGTTTCCGAAGTCCTGATTCTTCTGCGTCTAGACCTTTTCTTTCCGCTTCAATTTTGCCACCTTCTTCACAGTCCCATTCTTGTTTAGAAGCTTCAGGACACGATCTTTGTGGTCCAAGACCTTCAGCATGGAGTCTCTGGCCTCGCTGATCTGGTCCATCACCAGCTTGCACCTCTGCATGTTGCCCTGGAACAAAGCACATGGAAGCATTAATCCACAACCCTCAAGACAATCAGCTCTGCGCAGAATGCCTCCTGCCTGGAGGCCATTCTGCGGCTTTCACTCAGAAGCAGAGGCAGTGGTTCTTGTCCACCCAAGGCTAAAGTGCCATGGGTGGGGAGGAGGAAGATGGGAAGATGGGAGGAGGAAGGCTCTGGGCGAGCAGGAAGGCCGGGCCCTGCTGACCTGTATGAGCTCGCTTATCCGGTGCAGATCGTCGTCCGTCGCGGCCTTCTTCTTTGGGATAATCCCTTCCTGCAGGTTGGTGAGCCTTTCATAAACATCGTGTTCTAGATTCGTCTGCAAGACATGGAGGAAGGGCCTGGTGACCTCAGAGACACTTGGATTCACATGCAGTCACCCCTGAAAACTGGCACCAGACCTGTCTGGGGGATAAAGGCCTTTCTCCCAGGGACTGAGGCACTGCAAAGGGTGAGATGATGGTTAAAGTCTTCCTTCAGGGACGCCTTTTAAAGAGTGCTCAGACTGTCTGCTGCATCTGGGAAAATGAGTCTGCAAGTTTTAGAGAAGCACGCTTTCCTGCTCAGTGTAAGCCACAGGGCATTATTTAGATTTTTAAATTAGTGTTGTGGGATCGCTGCTCCTCTTCTGACAGGCAGATTCAAGAGACGAAGCCTTGACAGCCTCCCCGATCGCCTCAGTGGAAAAGGGGCTCCCTCTCTGGGGTTACAGATGTGGCTGGACCCTTCACACCGGCCAGCGATGTACCACACAACTTACTCCCACTCACCCTCAGGGAGCACGCAGGCATCACAGAGGGCACGCGGCAGCAGAGGCCTGGTGGTGCCAGAAGGTTCCCATGGCAGACGGGCTGTGGCTGGCTTATCTGGGCCCGGTGCCCATAGGAGCAGAGGGAGCTGGGTACAGTACAGTTAGTTAGGCCACCCGAGGAACGGTGACACACAGTGCTAAAGCCAATTCTAAGTCTCAGACCAAATTTGTTCCATGAATTTTGATTCTGGGTATTTGGAATGTGCACTAAGCTTTTGTGCCACACCAGATGGTGCCAATGTGCCAGCTGCTGCGGTGGGGCTTGGGACTGATGCCAGTGGTGTGGGGGAACACGCAGGGCTGGGGCCGAGCCCGGAGCTCCGACACGCAGAAGGAAAGGCCCCAGGCACCTGCACTGCGTCCTTGGCCCCCAAATAAATCTATGGTATGATTCCTTCTGTGAACAGATTCAGCAATGATTATATGGCACCCATCAGAGTGTCCCCAGGCCCTACGAGGACGAAAAATGCTTTAGAATCACGCGCGAGGACGCACTCTATGAACTTATGACACTCCTCCCCATGATGCACCGTGGCACCTACCAGCTGTAGTAACTGGGCAGCGCAGAGGTGGACCTTCCAGCCTTGGGCACGGCAGGACACTCCTTTCTGATTAGCTATTTCCTGCAGCATCGCTTTCTTCTCCTCTAGAGCCATGGGGGAGAAAAAGCATCTTTCAATTCCACAAAACTAAAATAATTTGTGTTCACGCTGTCAAGTGCCACTATTTTGCCCAGAATTTCTATACTTAAACTGCTTTTGAAACTTTTTTTTTTTGCATTTAAGTTATTTGGAATAGAGGTCACAGCATGAACAGAAAATCCCTGTTGTGCATGCCAGAAGCATGAAAGTATCCGCTGCTGGCCTCCTGAGTTCAGGAGAGAGCAGGCTGACATTCGCGTCTCTGGAGTGGTGTTCAATCTCAATGCCAGAGCGTGTGCAGGCAGGCACGAGTCTCAAAAGCTCTCTGGTGCTGTCCAGATTTGGGGAAAATCACAAGAATCAAATCCGAGTAACACTTCAAATCTGGTAGAAAAACCCAATAATCAGAACCTTGGCAAATCAATATAAAGTAAAGCTTTGGATCAAGGAGTTCACACTGGCACTGAGCAGGCCGGCTGAGGGTGAGGCAAGCGTCGCCTCTCCATTCTGGTGATGAGCTAGTCTTGGTTTGGGGGCCATGCTCTTGGTGCTCAGGATCCACGGGGTACAGGGATTGCAGGCTGCTTGCATGAGGAGCACGTCATCAGCCTCGGAGCTCTCTCCAGCTAAGCAGGAGATGCAACGGAGACTAGTGTCCTCACACACCAGTGACTTTGCCCCGCCACGTTCTGTTGCAGTGCTCAGGGGCTGAGGCTGGCTGCACAGTGCCCGGGACACATCTGTAGATTGGCTGGTCACGCAGTCTGGGGCATGACTCTCTGAATCTGCAGCCGTACTCAGGCAAGGCAGGCAGTTCGACATTTAAGGCGTAGCCCTGGAAGCCCATAAAACCTTTGAAAAATTAAGGGCTGGAGCCACAGTACAGATGATAGGGCGCTTGCCTCGGATGATAGTCTGCTGCATATCATACAGATGATATGCAGAGGACCCATATGGTCTCCTGAGCATCACCTGCGTGGCTCCAAAACAAACCAAACAAACAAGACCCCAAAGAAATAACAGATCTGTAACTGGGTTTCTCTAATAGAATCCAGAACTCCAAAATAGAAACACAAACCAAGTAAGAATGTCAAAGGATCTGAAGATACACTTCTCTGAAAAAAGAAACACAAGTGGCCAATGAGCACACACATGAATTCAACAACATTAGGTACCAGGAAAACGCAAACCAAAACCGACTGCTTTACACCCACCAGGATGTGAAGGTAAGGAAGGAAGTGTGGGGAGGATGTGAAGAGATGGAAGCTTCAGGCACCACATGTGGAAAAATACAGGATGCATTTGCTTTCTATCTGGTTGGTCTCAGACTCTGAGACACAAAATTTCATATCCTACCCAGAAATTCCATTTCTAGTTTTCCCCTTTCAGACATGGGCACCCCGTAGAAGGATGCTGTTATTAAGCTGAACGCACCAGATCCCTTACTACTGGAGTAGCATGCGGATTATACTGTGTCTTATGGGTCAAAGAAAGATGACTACGGAGACTGTGTGTCGGAATATTGGAGAATGAGTGCTATCTATCTGGGCCCAACAGTGATGGATTTTGTGGGGCAGCTTCACTGCATGAACAGAGAAGAAATTCTGACACTCACTAAATCATGTCAGCATGAGTGTGGTAGACTGAGTACTAGTATTGGCCACGACCCTCGACACTCATCTCAGTTTGTCCAGACACTTACTTTGTATGATAGTATTAACGTGATTGGTGTAAGCAAAGTTGTAGGATCCGTTCAGAGTCTACAGAAAGACGATGGTTCTTTTGCTGGAGACATTTGGGGAGGAACTGATACAAGGTTTGCTTTCTGTGGGGATAGCAACTTCGGCTCCCCCGGCGAAGCTGGACACTATTAAGGTGGAGAAGACAACTGAATTTGTTTTGTCATGTATGAGCTTCGATGGTGGACTTGGTTGTAGTCCAGGATCTGCGTCTCATGTGGGGTACATCTACTGTTGCACAGGATTCCTGTTATTACTAAGTCAGTTGCATCAAGTAAATTCTGACTTACTGGGTTGGTGGCTTTGTGAATGGCAGTTACCATCAATGGAAGGCCAGAGAAGCGACCAGATCTATGTTATTCATGGTGCGTATTGGCTTCCTTAAAGATAACTGGGAGACTTCACTCGACTGAGAGACTGCAAACTTAGCATGCCAAGATGAAGAAACAGGAGGATTTGCAGACAGGCCTGGGGATATGGTGGATCATTTTCATACTTTATTTGGAATTGCGGGATTATCACTTTTGGGAGAAGAACAGATTAAAGCTGTTAGTCCTTTTTTCTGTATGCCAGAAGAAGTGCTTTAGAGAGTAAATGTTCAGCCTGAATTAGTGAGCTAGATTTGTTAGTGCAAGAGTTACTCAATATACATTCAAGTATTAATACTTGTTAAAGTATTTAAAAATTGTCTATTAAGCAAAAATAAAGGTAAAAGGTAATGGCCCTCCCATTGTTCATCGATTTGCTCGAGTGGGCCCAGTAACGTCTCCATTGGAGACTTTGTTGTTACTGTGTTTGGCATATTGAATACATCACGGGGAGCTTGCCAGGCTCTGCCGTGCGGGCGAGATACTCTCGGTAGCTTGCCGGGCTCTCCGAGGGGGGCGGAGGAATCGAATTCGGGTTGGCCATGTTGGCCGCTTGTAAGGCAAATGCCCTACCGCTGTGCTATCGCTCCAGCCCCAAGCAAAAATGACTAAGTTAATATTTGTGATTTTAATGAATTTGTAATTATACAAAAACAAAACAAAACAAAAAAACCGACCCAACAAAAAACCCCCCAGAAATTCCATTTCTAGGTATACGGTCAAGAAAAATGGCAGCATATTCCTACAGAAATCTGTAGACCAATGTTCGCTGCTATTCACGATAAAAATGCAGAAGCTGACCCAGAAAGTGCAGAGAGCAGGTTAAGGTGTGTGCCTTGAATACAGCAGACCTTGGTTTGATCCTTAGCAATCAGATCTGATTCCCCCGAGTCCTGCCAAGAGTGATCCCTAAACACATTGTCAGGAGCAAGCCCTCAGCACGTCTGGGTGTGACCCAAGCTCCCACCCAGAACAACAGCAAACCAAGGCAGAAACATGCTCAGTAATCACTCCTGGTGGAGTTGGGGGACCCTATGGGGCGCAGAGACCAAGGCCAGTTGGCCATGTGCAAGACTAGTGCCCCACCGCCTGTGCCATCTCGGTTCAGCTACTGTTCTAAAAAAGAAAAAAGGAAGCAAAGGGGTGTCAAGTGTTTGTCCCTCACCCATTTCTCTCATGGGTTTCATTTCCCTGGGGCAGGGATGCAGCCCAGGGTGCCACTGACGCGGGCACGTTACCACCCTGCCTCTTCAGCTGCATCTTGCATTACTATAGTGTCGGAACTAGGAGAAAGCAAGCACCAAACCCTGTGGAAGCTGCCCCGGTCAGAGGGAGGAGACTCTGTGCCGCTCCCCCACCTTCCCCGTGCCGGCTCTGTCTGCAATGACTGTTATTCTGAGAGTGTTCTTGGGATTCCTTTGAGATTGATTTTTTTTAAACTAAACATAATGTCCTTGCCTCCATCTAAGCTGCCGCGTGATCGATAGTTCTGTCCTTTCCAACCTTAGTACTCAACGGCACCACCGTTTATTGAACCACTCATCTATTTATGCTCATTCCTGTCATTTCTAGTCTTTGCCCATTACGAGGAAAGCCACTACGTATAGCTGTGCACAGAGATTTGTGGAGACACAGGTTTGCATTTCTTCTTGAATAAACTTCCAAGAGTGCAACCATTGGGTCACTGAGTTAGCTGTCCAGTTTTTGTGAAACTGCCAAATATTTATTAGAGTAACTCGGCAAGACAGGAGACATAACTGAACTAGCCCACTCCCTTGGGGAAAGGAGCCTTCAATCTTCAAGGTCCTCAGGGCTGAGAGCAAACGAACGAGCCTCTCCTCAGATGCACGGCTGAAGTGCAGGGGCAGGGAACGCTGTCCACGCCCACCCCTGGCCAGCGCCACTCCCGGGGCTGCAGCCGGAACACGGGTTCCCAAGACGGATGGACAGATGGAGGCTTCCTTGCCGGCCGGGCTGCTGAGGCTAGCACCGGGAGGATGCCGGCAGGAGTGGGGACTCCCTGGGCTCAGCTCTTCGCTGTCTGAGGCAGATGCTGCCTGCTTTGGACTCCCTGGGCTGGCTGCTTGGGAAACGGTGGTCCCGGCGAGGAGAGCCAGGCAGGAGGCCCCACTCCCTGTGCCTGGTGCCCACCAGAGGACGGTATTTGGAGCAGCTGGCCATGGCGCCGCCTCAAAGGGGCCGCCACAGTGAAGGCAGCCGGCAGCGAACGGGTGGAGCTGACCGAGGTCTGATACCCTGGGCTGGACAGAACAAGGCAGCTCCCAGGAGCCCTCTGACAGAACAAACAACAAACACGGTCCTTCTGTTGTTAATCCATTTGCTCAAGTGGGCCCAGTAATGTCTCCATTTTGAGACTTGCTGTTACTGTTTTTGGCATACTGAATATGTCATGGGTACTCTCAATAGCTTGCTGGGCTCTCCAAGAGGGGTGGAGGAATTGAACCCAGTTTGGCAAGGCCGGCTGCGCACAGGGCAAATGCCCTACCACTGTGCTATCGCTCCAGCCCCATATATATATATACAATTTTTTTTTTGCAACATCCAGTGATACTCAGGGATTACTTCCGGTTCTTTGCTCAGAAATTGCTCCTGGTGAGCTCAGGGGACCATATGGGGTGCCAGGTACAGAACCTGGGTCGGTCGCATGCAAGGCAAGCACCTACCCTCTACTATCACTCCAGCCTGACATAGTTACAATTCTGAAAGGGGAGACAATGACATAGAATCAGAAAGATGAAACAAAAAATGAATAAAAAAGATAGAAGAGGATAGAATCTGTTTAATCTGAAGTTTTCATAGGCACAAAAAAAAGACAGTATTAGGCAAGACACAGACTCAAACTTCCGAGTAATTGGAGAGGAATGCTGGGGTAGAGGC